TTACAGTTGATGCGTGCTTTCCTCCGCCATTTTTAACCGCCATTTCCCAGTTTAAAATCGATCGTGAGAAATATCGATTATCGGTCGAAAAATCGCAGGAAGTGTTTACATATTTCGCCGTTGGGCGCTGTAATCAATCATCATTAATTAATTTAAACCCAATACGCGCGAATTTTACACGAAATGTTAACTTGAAATAAAAAATAAAAAATCTCTGATTTAAATCAAATACACAAAATTCATGAGAAATTTTTCAGAAAAAACGAAAATATTCATACACTAGATGAAAAATTGTCAATACTTTAAACTATTACAATTTCGTAAAAAAAAAAAAATTGTAGAACAATTAATTTGACTTTTTTTTAATTTTAAAATTTAAATTTTAAATAAACTTAATTGCAAAAATAATTTGCTCCACACGATATAACTGTATACCAAACAATATTTATGAAAACATTTCTTTGACACTTCCAAGCTTTTTTAAAATCGTGTTTGCAGGATTCATTCAGATTCCATAGTTACACACTAAAATAAATAAGAAAATATCTAATTCATATCTAATTATGTTAAAAAATATATTTCAATTTTTTTCTAATACCTTTAAACAGATATAAATAGTCAAATATATAATGAATTTTTTATTCCAATTTCCATCAATTGCTGGTTTTAAATCGTTGTATCCCTTCATTGATGAAGAATCACCACGTTCAATTCAATATATAACTCTCGAAATGTGACATCTTTTTGATGTAAATATGCTGTCCATATTTTTTGATTTTAATTCTCGTCACTAGCAGTGCTGAGGAAAATTTGCTTGAATCGATACGATAGAACGCGACACGAAAATGGTAAGGGAGGTTCTAGGACCCGAAATCGTAGGACAAAAAAATACATTGCTTGCGAGGTATATGATATACCTTGTCTGTGGTGATTGTAAGTTTGTAATTTTATTTTATGCTAATAAATCGATTATATTGGAAATTATATTAAAATGATACAGGTGAGTATATGTGATTTTACAATGCATTGAGATTCTGGCTGTCTCCTTTTGTTGACGATCTTGTTACCTCTTAAATATCAGAAATTACTTATCAGTAGCAAAAAGATCTGTAATATTTGCCAGAGATCCAGCAGAGAGCGCGGCTGTTTAATCAGACCGGCGCATAGAAAAGACGGAAGAACATATGTTTAAGCAGTAACGCATGCGCAGTCATTGCTTCCGTGACGTACCTAGCCATCTTTCCAGTCAAGCAAAAGTGATTGTTTTCAGCTTTAGTCTTATTTAACGGAACTTTTATTAATGTCAGAGCCACAGTCCGCGCTTCTACTACGAAAACAATTAGCAGGTATCCAGCAAAACTAGTATGGGTGCTAAGTGTGATCCGTGCCTCAAATTTGAGCTGAACGAAAAGCCGGAACCGTTCCCGTACTCCAAACTCGTGCGATCTCATCATCGCTGTGCTTCGACCCCTCGAGATCGGCTTTGTGAACATTTTTTCTGCTGCGATATCAGTTCCTTGAGACCTTTGTAACTTTATGTGAGCACCGATCGAGCCTTCCGTAATCTCACGATGGCCCTGCGCCTGATTAGGGCGTGAAAATCAATACGGCTACGGAACCGTGGTGTGCCTCCCATGAATAACTTTAACCTAGCATTTAATATTGCGTTTAGTTCGCTGTTGCCTCCGAGTCTGGTCTAAATTCTCCTACGGATGATTTTCGTGCGTAGCGGAGGCCGTTTACGCTGTTACCGAAAATAATTGCAGCCAATGTTATTTATAGCATTTCGCGCGTCACTAAATACAACGCGGTTTCGACTAAAAGAAGAAAAAAAAGAAAAAGAAAAAGGACCGAGAAAACCATGCCGTGCAACGACCACCGAAGGTCAATCTTCTTCGAATCGTAACTTTTGTATTATTTCTGACGCATCGTTTGTACAACAAAATCCTTCGAAATTTATTTTCGCGGTGTATCGTGATTTCATCGTCGTTCGCTAATGTTCGTCGTTGAATTTTATATGAAATATCGTGTCATCGTTGTTCGTTAATTCGTGGGTGTTTGACGGTCATTTAGTACGTTAAATTTAACCTAACCTATACATCGTTGAATAACAAAAGTGCTCATTTCACTTATCAAACTAACATAGCTTTGTGCAAATATATTTTTCTTTAAATGTTTTCATTATCATCCGTTTGAATTGTGACCAACCGTACGTATTTTTAAACGGTTCTGTGCTTTTTGATTCAAGCATATGTATACACTTAGTGTTTCAACGCTTCATTGTTCTGAATACGGTAGTTTTATTTAAATTTGATATTCAAAACAAAAACACCAGTTTAAACTAATATTAATTATTAACAGAAAATATTTTTCCAAGTTCATTTTCATCAAAAAATTGTTTAAAATATGAATGTTTGATTTGAATTTTTATTTTTTTCCCCGTAGAATTAAATAAAAACCCAGTAGAAGGGTTTTCAGCAGGCCTCATAGATGACAATGACATATATCAGTGGGAAGTACTCATTATTGGACCTCCGGACACATTATAGTAAGATATTAACTTGTTTATTTCATAACATATTTGAATAAAATAAATGTCCATGTTATAAATTTACTTTATTAAATGGAATGTTATAAATTTACTTTATTAATGAAACGTATTTTTACAAATATATTTTTACATTTCAGTGAAGGTGGGTTTTTCAAAGCACACTTACAGTTTCCAAAAGAATATCCACTTAGGCCACCAAGAATGAAATTCATAACAGAAATATGGCATCCAAACAGTAAGTAGTTTCCTTTAAGGGGCTTTTATGCGTACATAAAGATAGAAAAGTTGTTACAATATAAACAATAATATATATAAAATTGTTACAATATAATGTTGTACTTGCAGTCGAAAAGAATGGTAATGTATGCATATCGATTTTGCATGAACCTGGAGACGATAAGTGGGGCTATGAAAAAGCATCTGAACGGTGGTTACCAGTTCACACAGTTGAGACTATTCTCATAAGTGTTATTAGTATGCTTGCAGATCCTAATGATGAAAGTCCTGCTAATGTGGATGCTGCCGTGAGTAACGTCTTATATTGTACTAATTTAAATTACTGTTTTCAATAATTTTTACTAATGTTGATTGGAACTCTGTAGAAAGAGTGGAGAGAAAGTTATGCAGAATTTAAGAGAAAGGTGGCGAGGTGTGTCAGAAAAAGCCAAGAAGAGTGTTTGTAGGAGATGAACAATTATTCAAATGGAAAGACTTATTTAATTCTGGTGAGTTTTTGCAAAATGTTATTAAATAAAATAACAGACGATAAATATATTTGAATAAATTTTTTTTCTTACTCCTCTCTTAGGGAAGCCGTAAGCACTGTAAGAAAGAAACCGATGCTCAGCATTAAACTAATGGAAAACAGTGCCACTAAAAACGGATATAGCCTGACCCATTCTTAAGCAGAAAAAGGGAGGCAGAGTATGTGTGATAATAAAAGATAGTCACACATCTCTATGAAGTTTATATACCACCGCCACTGACGTACCATCCATTGATACAAAGAACATAAAAGAAACACATGCAGCTCACCTTTTACATAATAAACAACTAAAAAAACTAATTTACACATATACATAATGCAAAAAAATTATCTGTACGATTATTACCTTAATATTGATAGTTATAAACTTAACTTCCCTGTTCCTCCTGCTCAAGAGTTAGCCCCACCCTTTACACCTAAAAGCCTGTAATTTAAAATGTTTACGTTTATTATTGAATAATAATTCCTTAGTGGCGTTTCGTATTTTCTTACTTTCGTAAATATACATAAATAAATTTTTGTAAAGTCAAATACATGATATATGTGTATATATATGTGTGTGCGTGTATACACATGCATATATATATATATATATATGTTACAATCGTTAAATGTAATGCCAGTAAAGAAATGGAAACAAAATATATGTGAATCAATTGTGACATTACGATAAACATAATGTCGATTGAGCTGTGTAAAGTCATGGCTCATGTAAAGAAATGTGGAATTTCTGTTGAACCGTAAGTTGCCAAAATAACGAAATCTAATTAAAGTGATAATAATGCTAATAACAATATTATTATTAGAAATATACCATTAATTACAACTAGTAAAGATAACATAAAATTTCTTACACGGCTACAGAAACTTTATACATGTTTTAAGCAGTGCCAGTTTGTGAGGTGATTGTTAAATTTTATCTTTTTATTATACCCAAACTTGCGGTTCGAAATTATAGATACATTCAAATTTTTTATCCAACTATATATAATTTCATACTGTCAATTAAATTCTACAATATGGAAAATGTTTATTATATTCAACCCGCATTCTATTTATGTTCTCTAATATGAAAAATTTTTTTTATCTATCACTAAAACAAATTATTCTTTTTATACTGTGATTAATTATTTGCACTATGATAAACTTATTTTCAATAGATTACAATATATTTAAATAAAATTTGTTCGATTTTGTAGATTATTTTTTCTTCTTTAATTTAACATTATTTTCATATTACTTTGCATTGTTACTACATACGTTAATAATAATAGATTTTTAGTTATTAAAAGGTAATACTCATTTTGTGAATTACAACATTTTTAATATTAATGATATCAATATTACTTTTTAATTGTATACAATATTATTAATGTGTATATTAGTATTTTCATGTGCATATATACGTAATATTTAACAAGATTATTTTAAAACCTCTATAATTTTATCAATTTGTGTATAATTGCAATAACATTTATAATTCGAATTTGTACAATAAATGAAGCACATAAATAAAAGTTCTTGTAATAAAATGTAATAAAAGTTTACGATTACAATAACAACACGTTTATGATTAATAATGCTAAAGTGTACTGAATCTTTAAAAAAAACTAATTAGAAAATAGATATAAGAGATCCCTAATTTATCGACATGAAGAATTCAAATTCTTATGCACTAGTTTACTTACAATGTTGTTCAAATTCCCTACGCAGTTCACGTGCTTGTTGGCATTGTTTGTTACGTTATGAATTCGTGCTGTACAATTGTAATTTAATTTTCTTCAACTTCAATGTGATTCTTATAAGAACTTAATGGAATATTTTTGGAATTAAAATTTGTAGATTCATAACATAAATTTTATGTATTAAAACATAGTATCATTTTATTTTATTAGAAATCACGATCAATTAATGATGCTATGATTGATTTTGTTTATATTGCAGTTTTCTTTAGTTTTATTACTTTTCATTATTTAGAATATTGACGTAATTGGAAAATATTTTTGGTTTGTATTAAACCAAGTAATTTATAACTATGAACGATGAACATATTGTTTTGACATTACCTGACACACAAAATGCGGATTCAGTAGCTTTGACTCAGTCGCAAGAATTAACACAAGAAAAGATTATGACTGTATGGGGTAGATTATGCCCCATTAAATTGCCCTTTAAAACAATGGGTAAGAGTGCATATTTATTTAACGTTGTGTATCATAAATTTTAATGTAAATTTTACAGAAATGATCAAAGATATTTACACGCTTGGTCGCTCAGAGTCTTGTGATATTTGTGTAACTAGTAATGAATTAAAACCAAAGTGGCTTAGTGTAATGAGTAAGATACATTTCAAAATAACCAGAGAATTTGTTGGTAATACTAATGATACTATAGTATATTTAGAGGACTTAAGTCAAAATGGAACTTTTGTTAATAAAAAGAAAGTAGGCCGTGGAAATAAAGTAGTATTGGAAAGCAATGACGTAATATCATTGGCACAGCCTATAGTTACTGGTAAATATTATTTATGTCATGTAACAAGTATGTATAAATCTTTTACAAATCTCATATTTTATTTATATTATACAATGCAAAATTTATAACAGTTTATATATTCATGAGTACAACGGCATCTGAAAGCAACAACTTGCCCCCTGAGCTCAAAAATAAATATACAGTATCATGTAAATTAGGATCTGGCGCGTGCGGGGAGGTAAAAATGGTATTTAATAAAATTGGTTGTCAGAAATTTGCTATGAAAACTATTATGAAGATTGGTAGCATAACAAATGGACAAAAACATCCATTAAATGATCCTGAAAAAATTATGAATGAAGTTAAAATATTGAAAGCCTTAAAACATGTATGGTGATGTATGAAACATTAAAATGATATATATAGTATGTATTTAATATTCATTTTATTTTTTAGCCCTGTGTAATCAGACTGGAAGAAATTGTAGATACACCAAAAGCAGTATATATAGTTCTGGAATTAATGGAAGGTGGTGAACTTTTTGAAAGAATAAAAAGTAGAGGACGATTATTGGAAAAACATGCAAAAGTAATTTTTTACCAAGTTGTATTAGCTGTTAGTTATCTTCATGATTGTGGTATAACTCATAGAGATCTAAAGGTATGTGTTTTATATATGTATATTTATAATATTGGTTTAAATATAAAAATAAATGAATATCATTTGATTACATTTACAGCCAGAAAATATATTGTTAGCCAGCAATTCAGATATTACATTAGCAAAAGTATCAGATTTTGGTTTGTCAAAATTAGTTGATGCACAAACTATGATGAAAACATTTTGTGGAACCCCTATGTATGTTGCACCTGAGATATTATCTACTATTGGACGAGGTTCTTATACGAATCAAGTATGTTTGCCTATGTAATAAACATTTAGAAAAAATAAAATTCCATATTTACATTTTTGAATAGGTTGATGTATGGAGTTTAGGAGTAATATTATATGCTTGTTTAAGTGGTTCAGTTCCCTTTAATTGTCAAGACAAAAATATGAGCTTGCAAGATCAGATAAAGAGTGGACATTATAGTTTTCCTTCTTCGAAATTTGGACATATAACAAGCAAAGCTATAGATTTGGTACAGTGTTATTTGGCGAAATGTTATAATGAAATGTACAGACAACAGTAGTTTTAATTTTTAGTAAATAATATAATTTTTTTAGATCAAGCGTATGATGACAGTTAATCCAAGAAGGAGGATTACAATCAAACAAGTTTTACTACATCCTTGGTTACAAGACCGTGAACTTCGAGAAACTGTCGACATCTTATTATCAAAAGAAAATGATGAAAACGTAGCACCGAAAAATATTTCTACTGGTATTCAGTATGAACAAAATTTAATGAAAAGACCAAGGTTAGATTTCTAGTTAGAAATGTTTGCCCTAACTAATATTATTATTTAAAAAAATCATTAAATCGTAATCTATTTCTAGTAAATGAAGTTATTGTATTTGACTGAGTCGATCATAACTAGTATAAGTTTAGACACATAGAAATTCATTTTCAATTCATTTCAAAATTTTATTTTTCATTAAATTAATAGCCAAATTAAAATAATTACGTATTAAATTGATTTAATTTTGAAACATTATAATGTACATAAATTTAATAATAACAATAAAATTGAAGCATAATAAAGAAACGTAACCGATATGCACCAAAAAATAATGTACAAATAGTAATTATAAGAAATTATTTTTTGTAGTTTTACATTTTTGTACACTCGTAATTATTAAAAGTTTATAAACACGTCATTTGCTCTCTCTTCACTAAAATTTTTGCTTAAAACAAAAAAAATGACTAAATATCGCGAAATCTTATCTTTATAATTTTTCTTTAATAGAAATAAAACTTTGTATGTAATAAGAAAATCTGGTTTATATACAATTACAAATCGTATCAAGAATATTTTATTATTAATCGTTCTTTCGTTCTTCTGTCTATTTCTTTCTGCATGGATACTGTTCTTCTCCATTACATGGATTTGGAAGTGGAGTTTCCATCTGAGGCCGTTCCTTTTTAGTTAGTCCCGCTATCAATCTTTTTATTTGTGCTATCGCTTTTCCAGGATTCAAACCCTTCAAATAATAATGACATACAATACAATCATTAACATCTTAACTCCTACTCCCTGTATTACTATATTATGCACTTCATACCTTCGGGCAAGTTTTTGTGCAATTGAAAATAGTATGACATCGATATACGGAATAAAAGTCGCGCAATTTACTAAGCCTTTCTTTATGTCCCATGTCACGTGAATCTATTATCCACCTATAAGCCTACACGATAAAAACATTTCATGTTGTGTATTAAAATTTATCTTCTTTTATATATATATATATATAAATGATATACCTGCAGAAGCGTTGCAGGACCTAAAAATTTATCACCGAGCCACCAATACGGTGGACAGGAATAAGTGCAGCATCCACAAAGAACACATTCATATAAACCATTGAGTTTATCTCTATCTTTTGGACTTTGTAGAATTTGTCGTAAACCAATAAAATTTTCTTCTCCAGGTCGTTTTAAAAATGGTTCAATAGTCTGGTATTGTTTCAAGAATTGTTCCATATCCGTTATCAAGTCTCTAATTACGTATGAATGCGGCAAAGGATATATAATTATAGGTTTCGGCGATTCCTTCACTTTTCTAGAAGTAAAAAGTAGGATGCTACATAGTTTTAGTAAAGAGACGTCATATAACATCTTCGGTTTCTTACAATTTTTTGAATGATCATTACGAACTCAAATACAAATACAAATAACCGAATTGAGGATTAAACCTATAATATATACTATGCTACAAAAAAAAGTATTTTTCTCGCATTACGTGACGCAAGCCAAGGTATTGACACCATTTATATTCATCGCGCAAGTCCCGCAAATTCCCTCGCGACAGGATCTTCGATAAGACAATGTGGGATCATGTTCTGCTTTTATTAATGTGAGCACATCCAATATCATTGTGCCGCATTTATTTAAATCAATGCTGAATTGTTGCATGTATGGTTTTACATCTGGTTTTTCGGGGTTCCAACGATATATTCGAACAGTCTGCAACCTCGGCTTTTCCACCACCTTTTTTTCCTAAAGATGAATTAGAGAAAGAGAGAAGGAAACCATTAGTTTGTAGAATAAAACTTACAAGACACAGAAAGGGACAGGAAATGAGAAAATAACAAGTTTAATATAAAAATAACAATTTTTAATAACAAGTACGAGTTTTTAATATAACTGTAACGTTTGTGGTTGCTAACTTTTGTAGGTGCTTTGCATTCTTTCACAGCGGCAACTTCGGCGTTAATAACGTTTTCTGTCTCGGATAGTTGCTTCTCTGTCTTCTGTCTTGAACTGGAAAGAAATCTGTGGCTTGGGAAACGACTATTTTGACACATGCCTCGTCGAAGGGACGCAGTTGTGCAAGACCAGAATCGGCTCGCATAATTGATAATGTTGAGATTAAACATACTTGTAAAAGTTTTATGAAAAATCTCTAATATGTGTCATCTGAGATTATAAGGGCATATTTTGTTTCTCTAATCTTGCCATCATTTTGTTTTGCAGTGACAGTATAATTCTTAGTTAAGATAGAAACAAAATATCGTCATTTGAAAGAACTTCATAACTGTTCTTTGGCGATCGGTTCACTTTGAAAGTGAAAAATATCATATTGTAGATAGTGTAGAAATAACGAAATGATGTCTTAGCTAGATTTTTGAATTAAACATGATATAAAACAAAGTAGTAAACAAGTACGTAATCATATGGTTAAAAATTCACAATTCATTAAAACAAACGATAATATTTCACTGACGCATACATCTGATATAAATATGCAACGCCAATGGTCGTTGATTTTGCAATAATAATAATTATTTCCTATTATCTCCCTTTCAAAACAATTTGTGACCTATCCTTTGTATTCATATGTGAATGATTATTTGCGTAACATTCATATGTTTTTACCTATTAAAAATATAATTAATTCTAAATAATTTTCGGAAGAATACACACCAATGTTATAAACATTTATATTACCTCACAGTAATAAACATGGTTCACATTTCGAAACAATAAATTACAATTTATCTGAACGTTTGATTCGTACTGTTGCTCAACACTTGTTTCGCGGTATAATATTTTAAATGTCTCGAGTTATTTTAAAAGGTCAGAAGTTATCTCTTGTTACACACGAGTTAAAAAGGATTAACCCCCGCAAAGAAGCAGTCTTCTTCGTGCAAATCAAGCCGCAGCAATAAATATTCATTAAAATTCTCATAGCTTTGCAGGTATGAGCAAATACAATTAAACGTTTCAAATTCGGTTGATTACCACCTGTTGCATAAAGAAACGTGTATATGCATATCAGTTCAAATACTAAGAACTAAGTTATATAGATTTTAAATTATCGTGTATTATAAACTATGAAATCAATGAAAAAATTAAAAAAAAAAAGAAAATTTAGTGTCTAATAATCTCAAAAAATTGCAAAAACTTCGTGAAGAGTAATAAATACGGAGGTTATAGTTTTATTATATTATATAAATAACTTATAATAGCTAATAGTATTAATAATAATATCTCTTACAGTAATCTTGTGATAGTTTTGTAAATATTTTATTTTTACTTAACTTTATATTCGTACATATGTATAATGTAGTTATGCATAAATAGCAATATTATACGAAATTTTATAATCTGAATTTTTCACATATACTATATTCTTTTACAATGATCATTAATATCAAATTTAATTGTTTAGGCAGTATGCAGCACATTGTTTTAGTTATTGGCGGTGGTGGTAGAGAACATGCTATTGCTTGGAAACTTTCACAATCTCCTCACGTAAATATTTTATATATAATGTATCACCAATATTGTACAAAGATATTCACTTAAATATCTAAATCTTTTCAGGTGCATAAGATTTATGTTTCTCCTGGAAATAGTGGAATTTCATTAGTCGATAAAGTTTCTCTAATAAAATTAAATATTAAGGATAATAAGGTATATATTATTTTATGAGTTATTATTAATTACATGAATGAATTAATCATGCTAGATTTTATATTGCATAGGAAGTAGCAACATGGGCTAAAGATAATAAAGTAAATTTAGTAGTTATTGGCCCAGAAGAATACTTGGCTAATGGGCTAGCAGATGAATTAAAAAATGTAGAAATTAATTGTTTTGGCCCACAAAAAGCTGCATCTAAAATCGAAGCAGACAAATACTGGGCAAAAGAATTTATGGATAAATATAAGATTCCTACTGCAAAATGGAAAGGATTTGTAAATCCAGAAGAAGCAAAGAAATTTGTTATAAAGTAAATGACAAAATTTTATTAATAAATAAATTGTAAGGAAGGGCATTACATGTATATTAATCAATTTTAGTGCACCCTATCCAGCAACTGTAGTAAAAGCTTCAGGCTTGGCAGCTGGAAAAGGAGTCATAGTAGCAAAAGATAAACAAGAAGCATGTAAAGCTATAGATGAAATATTAACAGACAAAAAATTTGGATCTGCTGGTGAATCAATAGTGATAGAAGAATTATTAGAAGGAGAAGAAGTGTCTGTACTTGCGTTTACAGATGGTAGAATAATAAAAACAATTTTTAATCAATGCTATCCATATTCACACTGACTAAGTTATTATTAAATTAGAAATTCTTTTTCTTTTATAGGAAAAACCATTGTACCAATGGCACCTGCACAAGATCACAAAAGAATATTTGATGGAGATACAGGACCAAATACTGGTGGCATGGGTGCTTACTGCCCATGTCCATTGTTGAACAAAGCAGATTACGAAATAGTAAAAACAAACATCTTGCAAAAAGTTATTGATGGTCTTAGACAAGAACAAATTCCATTTGTTGGTTTGTATCAGATATTAGAGCTATATTAAAATTTATAATATATTTTGTGAAAACAATTTAATGTACAAAAAATTATTATTTAAAAAAATATAGGTGTATTATATGCTGGATTAATGTTGACAAAAGATGGACCAAAAGTTTTAGAATTTAACTGTAGATTTGGAGATCCTGAAACACAAGTAGTATTACCATTACTAAAATCGGATTTATTTAATATTATGAAGGTAATCTTGTTTTAATATAAGAAACTATAGCTGAAATTAATTCAGTGTATATTAATGTAGGCTTGTTGTGAGGGTTCTTTAATTGAATCTCAAATCGTATGGGAAGAAAATCTGTTTGCTGTTGGTGTTATTTTAGCATCTCGAGGATATCCGGTATCGTCATCAAAGGGTCAAGTTATAACAGGCGTCAATAATATTCTACGTGAAAGAAATCAATTTGTTTTCCACAGTGGAACAAGTATTTCTTCTGAAGGAGAATTATTAACTAATGGTAATTTATGAATATACATATACAAGTAAACTCAGTATTTGTCTTATTGCTTGTTTGTTAGGCGGAAGAGTTTTAATTACTGTAAGTTTAGCACCTTCATTGGCTTTGGCTGCTGCTAAAGCAACACATGCTGCCCAAAACATATTTTTTGAAGGGAAGCAATTTAGAACAGATATAGCACATAAAGGAATAGCAAGGTATCGTGTAATGAAAATTATACAGAAGAAAAGAAAAATTTTAATAAAGGAATATTATCAGGTTTATATTGCATCATGGACAATTGACATACAAAAGTAGTGGTGTGGACATAGAAGCTGGAGATTCGTTAGTTTCAGCTATTAAACCAGCATCTTACTCGACCCAACGTTTAGGTACAATAGGTTCAATTGGTAGTTTCGGTGGCTTATTTGACATAAAAGCTACTGGTTATAAAGATCCAATTCTAGTATCTGGAACTGATGGTGTTGGAACCAAATTAAAAGTACGTAAATATTTATGAGAAGTTACAATGATATAATGACAATGCACAAAATCCAACTTGCAGATAGCATTTGAATGCAAACAACATGATACAGTGGGCATAGATTTAGTGGCTATGTGTGTAAATGATGTTCTTGCACATGGTGCTGAACCTTTATTCTTTCTGGATTATTTTGCTTGTAGTAAATTAAATGTGGATGTAGCTAGTAATGTTATAAATGGAATAAGTGAAGGATGTAAAAAAGCTGGATGTTCATTAGTAAGTAAAAATAAATTTACTTTCCAATTTTTTCATTTAATATAGCAATTTAAAAGGAACATTATATATAGACATTGAATTTAGATTGGTGGAGAAACAGCAGAAATGCCAAACATGTATTCTAATGAAGAATACGATTTAGCCGGTTTCGCTGTGGGAATAGTTGAAAGAGATGATTTGCTTCCACGAATAGATAATATAAAAGAAAATGATATTGTAATTGGCCTTCCATCAAGTGGAGTGCACAGTAATGGATTCAGCCTTGTTCGGAAAATTTTAAAATTGACAGATAAAAAATATTCAGATATAGCGCCTTTTTCTAACAATAATCGTACAATCGGTATTTATTGTACCCTTTAATTTATATTACTTCTTTTGCATAAAAGTTTATTTAAATTTATTATTCTAGGTAATGAATTGTTAGAACCAACGAAAATTTACGTAAAAGGAGTGATTCCTGCTTTGCGCACAAATTTAGTAAAAGCATTCGCACATATTACTGGAGGAGGTCTGACAGAAAATATACCGAGAGTTTTACCGAAAAATATGGGAGCAGTTTTGGATGCACGGACATGGATTATTCAACCAATTTTTGCTTGGTTGGCAACTATAGGTGAGAAAATAATTAAAAATATTAATCAAATTTTAATGTATAAATTTATTTAATACTTCTGCATATCTTTTTAATAGGAGGAATTAATAAAGAAGAGATGTTAAGAACATTTAATTGCGGCATTGGCGCTATTCTAATTTGTTCAGAAAAAGATAAGGACGAAGTTTTGACTAAATTACAAATAGAAAATCCCAAGATCATTGGATATATAACTAATTATAAAAGTAAATTTTATTTAATGTTATTTTATTAAAAATATTTTTATTTATATTATACACGTTAAAATATTACAGATAATCAAACTAGAATACATGTCAAAAATTTTGAAGAGGTATTAGAAGTAAGAATGAAACAATACATACCGGACGTTATTTCACAGTTAGGTAAGCCTTTAAAAAAAGTAGGTGTTTTAATATCCGGAAGCGGAACCAATTTACAGTCACTGATCGATGCAACTCGAGATCCATCCCAACATATTGGTGCTGAAATTGTTATAGTTATATCTAATAAACCAAATGTTGAGGGACTTAAACGAGCTGAAAAAGCTGGTATTAAGACGGTGGTAATTGTCATTTTTTAAATTTCACTAATTTCTCCATCTTTCATCACAAATCACTCAATGTATGATCATAGGTCGTTAAACACGCGGATTATCCCAATCGAGAAGAGTTTGATGCAGCGATGACTGTCGAACTTATTGCTGCTGAAGTTGAAATAGTTTGTCTTGCTGGTTTTATGCGAATTTTATCAAATACTTTCGTAAATCTATGGCGTGGCAATTTAATAAATGTTCATCCTTCGTTATTACCATCATTTAAAGGTGCACATGCACACAAAGATGTTTTAGCAGCTGGAGTACGCGTTTCAGGATGTACAGTGCATTTCGTAGAAGTATGATATACATTATAATACATGATATATATTATATTTATAAATTTTTATTTACATTAAAAAATTTTTTCATGTATTTAAAAATAATTTTTAGACTGATATCGATTCTGGAGCAATTATTGAACAAGCAGCAGTACCTGTACTGCCACATGATACCGTAGAAAGTCTTCAAGAACGAGTGAAAATAGCTGAACATCGTATTTTTCCACTAGCTTTAAAATATTTAGCTACCGAAAGGATACACTTAAACGACGATAATTCTATTACATGGAATTATTAATCTCAGTTGTATAATTATTTTATGCATCATGTATATTTGATACACTTATTTTATTTTATATATATTAAATTTTCTACCAGAAATAAATCAATAGAAATAACAAATTTAGTTAAAAGAAATGTGCTAAAATAATCTAATAAAAAAGTATGTTTTCTACGAACCCTTGTTATTGAAAATTGAAAATATTACTTCAAATAAACCATCTTTCTTTGTAGAGACATCAGGATCTACATTTTTCGAATTATATTTTATAGTTGTGTGTGTTTTTTGTGGTGGTGTCGAAAGTGCTTCTTTTGCAAACTCCTCTAATTTAATATGAAACATTTGTTTCTGAAGTATAGGTACTAATAAATTATACTTGTCGATTTTACTATTTATTCGTTTTGTTTCAAACTTAAAGTTATCTACAATTTTCTTCCAAGCACTTTCATCTGCGAAGTTTAATGGAAGATGTCCCACGTTATTACGAGCGCTTATTAATTGTTTTCGTAAATTTTGTATGTCTTCTCTAATTTCTTTAGATAACTGTATCCATTCCGGACTAAATCCATTTTCTATTAGTACCTACAATTTAATTTCACATGTTATTGTAAATGTTGTAATTATTGTAAATTTCTAATTTAAGTTAATTTATCATACCTCATTTAGTTTGTAAGTAACAAAATCAACATATGGATTTCGGGTGTTTGTATTTTCCTTCAACGGTTTACCGGTGCCTGGGAGATCTTTAAATTCACCTTTATTCATTGCTTCTTGAATTAAATCTTCTACTAAACGATCCATACCAAAACGTGTTTTAATATCTTTAGCACGTTGTTTATCCATTCCAACTAATGTATTACGTTCTTCAGCTTGCAACTTTTTTAATCTATGTTCCAATACATTGTCAACTGCTTTTTGAGCCTTTTCTATTGTGTATAATTTTTGTCTTTTGCTAGGTGTTCCAATTCCTACATTATACATCAAATAATGACGATGTTGTGGTGCTGTATGCTAAAATATAAATATACATAGTTAGAAAATGTAATTAGTTGCATATAAAGTTAAAAAATGTACTTTGATGTCAAACTCTTCCACTTCAGGTAAATTTGTACTGTTTTCTTTCTCCTTTATCCTTGATTTACGAATTTCTCTGTAAGCAGCTTCAATCTGTGAAAAAAAGTTTATAACTTTATATACAGTGCTAAATAATCTTTATCAATAAAACAATATTGATATATTGTATGATTACCTCAGAAAATTTGGTTGCATCAGCTTCTGATGTACCACTATCTGGATGAAATCTTTTTGCTTGGCAAATGAATGCTAGTTTGAGAGATTCATTTTCGCAATCTTCTGCAACTTGTAGTATTTGGTAGCATTTCTTAAAATGCAATAAAAAATATAAAGCTTATTTAATATTACTTAGATTTATAGTCATAATTATAGATAGTTCTATATTTAAACAGAAAATATTCATTATGATTACAGAAAATTAAAAAATGATATTTATCAGAAATTTGGAAATACTAGCAAATAATTTAATATAATTTTGATGTAAAAGTATGTAACATGATTAATATTATATATGTGTAATAGAAAACACACCTTTATATCATATTGATGTTTAAATCTCTTTATCTGCATAAATTCCCAACAAGATATGCAGTGCATATGCTCGAAAGATTTTTTGTTACACTGATTAAATTTTAACATGATCTTCATAAGATTAAATACCGATAAGTTTAATACTTTGTTTTATGATTATATAACTGTCTATATTATTATAATATACATATGTTAACATGTGAACTATTATTTGAAATATTCAAAATAACCTACATGTTTATACCGAAAAACATTTTCAAATTGTATGCTACAAATGACACTCTACGAAAATGTAATTTTCGGTGTAAATTAGATGCTCTAAGCATATTAAAGATAATTTAATTGTCATGGAATTTACATGGTTCTTAAAAATCGTACAAACACCAACGTTACATTGACGTTTCAAGAAACATATGCATCATGTGACATATATCTAATATCATATGGTGAATATAACAAACCCAGCTGATCGTCGTACAATTATTTATTCATCCGCTTATTTCTAATGTTTATAGATACATCTTAATAGTAATTTTTCTAATTCATTTTTAATTAATTTTTTAAATATATATTACATAACATACAAATAAAATTACATATATATTCATATACAAATTAAATATATATTACATATCATACAAATAAAAATGACAATATCTTTATTTTCTTTAGTTTCAACAGTAATCCTTGTGTAGCCTTATCAACTACGTGCAATGTAATGTTGATCAGCTTATTGTAATTGTAATGAATTAAATATAATTTTAAATGAAATATATTTTCAGTGAAAACACATATTCATTGAAATATATTGTTTTTGAATTTGTAAGTGCTGCCACATCTTAGTAACAGTGCCTTTTCTAGGGAAAGTATTACGCTTTTGTTATTGTATTTCTGATATAATAAATTGTAATATTTAGAAGTTCGTACATTCGTTTTTCATGTTACAAAGAGTGTAGAAAATCTCTGTACTTAAATGTACAGTAAACATAATTTCTTACATTCTTATGATAGAGGACTAAAGGATAATTTAATTATAAACAGTGCGTTTGAAGATTTCGATGCCTTTGAAGAAGCTGTTATACATTTAATTCAAAGTATTCGTTGAAGTATTAATTGCATATAATATGGATTTTATTAAGATTTGCAAAAATTGTAAATAATTCTATTTCATAATTCTATTTATTTTTGTATTATCTATTCAGAAAACCCGTGGTAATTTGGTTATTTACGTAAACGTGTAAATATAAAATAATACACATGCGAATGAAACCGGATGTATACATTCTTTGGGCATGCGCATTACTGTATTGTGACTTTTTTTTTCCGCTTTCCATTGACGTCAGTTTTCCATATACTTGCAGAAAAACGTTACGCGAGCTTTTAAAGTTTAGTATTTAATTATTTTCAATTTACAAATATACCTGGTTTTTGTTGTATTTGTAAACTTCATAAGTCTTGTGTGAAATAAAACGTTTGTATGGTGAGTTCGATCTGTTGAAAATTTCATCGTAAAACTTGTTCAAAGTTTACGATACAAGTATGCAAGTACAAGAAGCAGAAGGAGCTGATGGTAAGTAAACGTGTATTGCATTTGTTACGCGTTTTTTTCTCTAATTCCTTGCATTTTATAATGTTTGAGCAAAAGATGTTTTCCAGTTCGTTGTGATCACCACGATGCACTTAACCTCTTTTGCACGATCGTATATGTTGATCATTATTATTACGTAGCTATTCGGCAGATATGTAGGAAATAAAACACTTGTACACAGGTTCACCGTGGAACAATTCGAGTGGTTGCGATGAGGAACGTCGGCCAGCTCAAAAGGAGGGTAAAAAATCGAATATATTACCTCTATGGGGGAATGAAAGAACAATGAATCTGAATCCGTTAATTTTAACAAACATACAGTCATCACATTATTTCAAAGTGAATTTATACGAACTGAAAACGTACCATGAGGTTATCGATGAAATTTACTACAAAGTGTCTCACTTGGAACCATGGGAGAAAGGAAGCCGGAAAACAGCGGGCCAAACTGGCATGTGTGGAGGTGTGAGTATGTTTTCTTGTATGTTATCCATTTGCAATTGTTATTTATTGACATTTAAAACTAAAACAGTCATAGAGAGCCACGTAGCCACGTATATAGAAATAGTCCAAATTTATAGCATTTTAGAGGACCTGGACGCTCTATGAAATGAGAACTGCTAATAAAAATAAAAAAAGGTGAAATCATTCAAAGTGAGAGTTCTAAGTGTCTTAGGCTCTCGCTGATATCGCATAATCAGATATCAGAGTCAAAATATTGGGCTCGAACTGGTCTGAATACAATGAGCAGACATTTAATGCCATACTTAATTGCAGAGTAGCATGTTCTCGGTCAATAAATTATAATGTAATATGAATGTGATTAATTGACATAGGGGGGTGTAAATTTAGCGGTTCATGCAGGTCCGAGGAGTTGGTGCTGGTGGAATTGTCTCAACAGCGTATTGTTTACTATATAAACTCTTCACCTTGAGGTTAACAAGGAAACAATTAAATGGTCTTATCAATCATCTTGATTCACCATATATTCGGGCATTGGGATTTATGTACATTAGGTAAGAATATTGCGACATTAAATTTTACTTTAAAGAGATATTAAATGCTCTAATAATTCGACATTGTTGATATTAACAGATATACGCAACCACCAGCAGATTTATTTAATTGGTATAGTGATTATTTAGAAGATGAAGATGAGTTGGATGTGAAAGCTGGTGGAGGACAAGTTATGAAAATGGGTGATATTCTCAAACAATTTCTTACTAAACTAGAATGGTTTTCAACCTTATTTCCAAGAATACCAGTGCCTATACAGAAAGAACTCGAACATCGATTAGCAGAAAGATTTCCTCAACAGTCTATGAATGCCAGAAATGCAAAACCACCTATTACCTTAAATAGTCACGGAAAATATAGTAATAGCAGTAGTAGGAAAGATAACGGCAATCTCACCTCACGGAATCAACCGCGACATATCCCAGACAGTGAAGCTCAGTGGGGTGAGGCTGAAAGAACAAGCCACTGGCGAGCCAGGTGCGTCTACGTGGTATGAATACAATCACGTTACTAATTTATATAAGGTTAATAATATTCTATGAACTTGTTAGGGAAATTGGGTGAAGATTAAAGACGTACCATCTCCAGGAAAATACTCTTGATCTCAGTGTATCATCATTCAGTTTTGTTTAGTACATGTGTATGTTCTTATTTGATTCTTGTACAGTTATTCGCTCGCTTTATAAATTTAGCGCAATAAATTTGTTTTTATACTTATATACGCTACTTAGAGTCTGTATATCATCGAGTTTATTGGATTCTTTTGCGAAGGCAACATTCACAAGTTTTAACTAATCTTCGAATTATTGAAAAGTCATCTCGATATTCATTATTTCGATAACTGTACACTAATCTTTTTTATACATTGGATATCAAGGAATGTAAGATCTTCAAATGTACATGAAATATTAGAAACTACACGAATATGCAATATCGAGGTGTTTAAAATGGATAATTTCTTGGTATCTTTCATTACGAATGAGTGCAACATACGTATGCACTTGCACAGGCTGATATTTTTAAAACGTTATTCGTTATTTCGCATTACTTCCCTTCGAATAATGTTTTTCCAGATCTGATGAAGACCGCAAGGATAAGTACAGGGATCGAGATCGTGAACGAGATCGTATGAGAGAAAGAGAACGAGAACGTGCACGAGAAAGAGATCGAGAAAGGGATCGGCATTGCAGACGATCGAACAGCCGTGATCGAAGTCGAAGACAAAGGGAGTATAGAAGTCGTAGCAGAGACAGGTCACACAGAGACAGAAGTAAAGATCGTTATCGTGATAAAGATCGCCATCGGGATAGGTAGTATACGTTACTTTTTAAATATATTGTTGACTATAGACTTTTAACTCCTTGTCAATTATAGGAGAGGTTCGCCTTATAATTATGCAACAGAACTTGCTCGGGAAAGGGAGAGACAACGAAGGGAATGAAAATATATGCTGACATGTATATATCGATATAAATGTTTGTACGAGTGTAACTATAGAGGTGAAAATGACTTAGAACCGAGCCATTCAAACACCTGCGTTTTGAGGGAAAACTGTTTGGAGTAATAGCCTAAATTTAATTCAACTATATCCATGTAGTTTACATGTTTTTATAAAATAAATTCAAGATTACAACTATTGTTTTACAATTCCTTGTCCTGCATGTATAATACAGTTTTTTTCACAAATGTATATAGAGAAACGTAGTTGCAGAAAAAAATCACAGAAAATGTTTCAAATGAATTTGTTCATAATATATGTGTAATGTAACAAATTGTACTTATGTTTTCAAAATTAAAGAATACTGTGAAATCGACATTTTTTAATATGTTCTGAATTATTTCATGCCAACTGAGGTTTATTACAAGTGTTCATTCGTAACAATTTGCGATGCCAATGCAATGCTTTACGGCGCGTGAGTACTTTGGTTTGAAGTTAAAAATGGCGTCGCATACTTGCCGCACCATCATAGTTGGATGCGACTAAGCAGAAGTTTCGTCAAAACATGAAGGAAACATTTATTATCAGGTGACAGCAACCGCGTGGCCAATTTTCGAAGGTGATATAAACAGATGTTTTTCTTTGTAAAACAATTTTCCAGTACTCTCTGAATTCAATTCGTAATTTATATACACGTTCGTTAAGACGGTGCCATGATATCGCACACCACAATGTTTCGATACTTGTTTCATGAGATTTTTTTATTTAGATGAAATCATTATATCTGATTTAAAGGCTTGATTTTTGTAGTGTCGATGTTAATCAACTGTTTTAATGCACATACGCATTAAAATATTTATCATATTTTATTGAGAAAGAATTCGCAAGAACGAAAATGGCGTGGATGTAGATTGATCTTAGAGCTATAGAGTCGTTCTGTGATAATGTCCAAGTAAAATAACAGCGCGCCATCTACATTGCGTTCATTCGATCAAAACCTTGAATTTTGTTCGCAGATGATTGGCCGACGCTGTGCTCTCATCGCTTTGGGCGGTCTTTTGATTCTTGTCCTTAGCGTCAATGTATATTTTATTCGAATGATTGTAGAGAGCTCGTCGCACAAAACTTCTTCCAAAGGCATGCCCATTTCGCAATTGAAGCCGGAACAGGAGCAATTAATATTTCAAGCGGAACAAAATTTACAAGTTTCGCAGAAGTCAGTCGCGAAAGATATGGTAAAAAAGATTCGGGAGGAAATACAGATATTACCATCGAAATATTTCATGCAAAATACTAGCTACGCGATAGTACTGGAGAGATTGTTAACTGAATTAAGAATAATGCCTAACGCTGTTCAGAAAAATATATGGAGTATTCCTAATAGCAATGTTAGTACCGTGTACACGATATTACGAATAATAACGATAAATTAACAATAGTTTTTTTTTTCTTGCCTTTAACAATTATGTAATGTTTTTAGTGGCCTGATGCTCATCAATTAATACCACCGGTTGCGCCGGAATTAGGAACAATTTTGGACATCTTGCGTAAATCAAAAGTGATGCGCGCGGACAACGCACCGCTTGGTACACAATTGAAATTGATGTTAACTTTGGAACACGGGACGAAAGCGATGTTCAAGCCTCAGTGGTATTCCAGGGACGCTATTATACGAGGGCCTGTTTATCATGGAAAAGATCGACATAATGCTGAAGTAGTAGCATTCTATTTATCTTCTTTACTGGCCTTAAGAAGAGTGCCGCTTACTGTTATACGAAAACGTATGTTTCTATGGAATTTCTAGTGAAAATATGTATGCGTAATTTTTCATTGCAATTGTACAACTTTTTTAAATGTTTTATATTAAATCATTTTTAGTTGACTTAAGGAATGAAATTCGGCCGCGTGCAACTCCGGAGCTTTATGCTACTATGTATCAAGATGGCAATGATACCTGTTTGTACGGTGTTTGCCATTATTGCTCTCCTGCGGATCCAGTGTGTGGAGTAGGCGATATTTTAGAAGGTGCTTTAATTTCTTGGTTACCGCGATACTTAAGACTCGTGAAACACCGCCATCCATGGCAGAGAACATATAAGAAGAACAAACTTGCAATGTGGGAAACGGATGATAACTATTGCGAAAAAGTAAGTCCATTAGATATACGCATTTCTTCTTTCACACAAGTCTGTTGCTTTTATTTTTTTCGCTTGAGAATAACGCTGAACTTTTTGATTTTCTTTTTCAGGTAAAAGACACTAAAGCTTATTCTCCACAATCATCGAGTAGACTTTTAGATTTAATAGACACTGCGATTTTCGATTTTTTAATGGATAACGGTGATCGCCATCATTACGAATTAGCACAGAACAATTTTCATAATCCAGCTGTATTGTTAATTGACAATGGGAAAAGTCTTGGAAATCCCGATGTAGATCATTTTGATATTTTAGCACCTTTGTACCAGTGTTGTATGTACGTATTTATACATGTATCAATTTTCTTTATATATAATGAGAAATGTAACGAAATTTCATTAAAAATCTAAGTTTTTAAAATTATTAAAAAGTTTTACTATCATTTTAGGATTCACAAAACTACTTGGGATCGTTTAAAATTATTTAGCGGCGGTTCATTGAGCATAGCTCTTGCGAGGCTTGTTGCTCATGAATCGTTAATGGCTGGTGTTCAACCCCTTGTTACAGAAGCCCACTTAAGTGCCATGGATAGAAGATTACTTACTATTTATGCAGTTGTAGAATATTGTTTAAAAAATAAGAAATACGCTTCCAATGTTATTTTAGATCATCGGTAGCTCATATTTAGTACATTTGAACAACTTAAATACCTGAGATACTAGGAGCACACTCGTATTTTAAATAGTTGCGAATTATACTTTTTTTTTTAATGTCATTCCGAGTTCGTCAATTTAAGACTTAGCAAAATCTTGCTGGATTGTTTGTATTTACTATTTAATATTTACTATTTAACATTTATGCACAAGTACAGTATATGTATATCTTTGATCTAAATAAAACAGCTTTGTATATGTAAGTTTATTCAGTTTATAATTTTCTGTGTCAAGGATCGTACATTGTACCGTACAATGTGAAAAGAAATGAAGTTGGTTAAAAAGAACAATAGAGATAATTCAACCGTATATAAAGTTTAGTATGATTTATTTGATGACACAATAATTATCGTTATTTGAATAAAGGTCCAGTGCGGCGTCGTACAGCGTATAAATACGGTACAAACGTAAAAAACCTGTAAATGTGACTGTATAATTATTACATGCACATCTCTCTCGTATTCATGGACATTGCGATGCCGATCGAAATCTGAAGTCGATCTCAAGACTTATCAAACATGTACACTATGTATAATCGGTGTAGCCTGCGATATTTTCCGTCGTTTTGGCTTTTGGCAGTTAATACGTTGCAATCTGATAAATTGCACGCATGAAGCATTCAATTCCTTTGCTTTTCATCTTTTCTTCTTCTTCTTCTTTTATACACTTTACACGCCATAACCAAACGAGATTGTACAGGCTACCACGGGACTTTGAGTCAAATTTGCATCTAGCGTAATCGTACATTTCACTCGTATTTTATATTTACAATGTTACATGACCAGAATTACTCACGTATCTTACTGGCTAATTATAAATTTTATTCGTAACATAAATTTAGCGCCATCGTCGTTAGGTTTTGTGTGTGTGCGTGTGCGTGTGTGTGTGTGCACGCGCGCGCGCGCGTGTGTATGGGTGGGTGTGTGTGTGTGTATACATATATATGTATATATATATTAACATTTTTTTTTTTTAATTAAATAGAGCTTTCGTAGCAAAGTATGTATAAATAGACTATTTTTGCACGCACATCCATCAGTACATACTCACTTCGAACTGCGCTGTATTTCTGAAGGCGAAACAATACTCTGTTGAGCGGCCCGTCCATGAGATCTGTGTATACCGAATAAAATAAGCTATTACCTGAAAGTACGTAATGGACGTGGGGAATGGCGGTTCCCCGATCCTAAATCTCGGCTCAGTTCGAAGCCCTTTTATTTTTACGCCCTACGATAATACTGTTGTATATTCCATCCAAATTTCTCGATTAGATCCGCGTTAAGCTACACTTAATCGTACTTGATTTGATCATAGAAATGTTAATCTCTTTAAAATAGACTCGTACTTCCGTAACGGCAGCGTAAATTATTGCATCGCGTTTATATACGTCGGTATATCCAAAGAACAGAAGTATCGTTTGCTCGTCTCTTATTTAATTATATTATCACACCGAAGTGCATGATGCACGTAAAAATCTAGAATAAATATAGGCCAGCTGTAGGCATTGCAAAAATTTTTTTCTTGAAAAATTTCTAATTTCTTTTAATAATGCACATCGTCGCCTCGTGTAAGAGCAAGTGGAAGGACGTATTTTATAAAGAGTATCATATCACGCATTGCTGAAAATACCCCTAGCTTTTTGCTTACAGTTCAATCGTTTAAACATTTGTTTGATATTTTCCGTCGTAAAAAGTTAGAAAAAGAACATTTATATCCTAAATGTAGTCAAAATTTATTTTTGATTCTCTTTTCTCTCTTTCTTTTCTTTTTTTTTTTTTTTCTTTTCAAATTTTCGTACGCATTTACTCTCTCATACGTCCAAATAGATATAAATTGTTATTTCTCAAACTGAATATTATAAACTGGCCTGATGCACGATTATATTCGGAGGTTCTATTCGTGTTCATTAATGACAGTAAAATTGTTGGATTAAAGCGCTGATTCTACGCCTCTTGACGAAGATGTCGACGAACTTAAATCTTCGGACTGTCGGGTGTGCGACGAGTCGAGGGAGGTAACCGAGTCACTGTCGTTGCTGTGAGGACTCGAATAATTGGCTGCTTCCTGTAGCCTCATCAACATATTCAACTGTAACAAAGGGAAAATTTTAATCAATCACCGTATTATCGCAGAATTTAGGAAGCGTCGTCTAAATGAACCTAACGACTAAGAAAACTTGCAATTAATTTCAAATTGTTGTTGTACCATTTGAGAGCGTACTTGTCTTTATCGAAGGAAATATATACTAACTAGTGGATCTCCTTCTGTATCGCTGTGTGTGCTACCAAGGCTTTTCACGCTAGATGCACCGACTCCGGTAGCGTGTCCCGACGTGACGACATCGTAGCCAACATCCTCAGGCCGTAAACGAAGAAGTGCGTCGCTACCACCGTGCACCGCGTGCGTGGAAATCCAGGGATAACTCGAAGTGATGAATTGAGCCGGATCTTCCCAGGAGGAATCCCCGTTCCCATTCCCACTCACGCGTCTACCGTAAAGTGTCAATCCCTCTCTGACAGCTTCTACCAGATATGGTACCACAGAGTAGTTCCACAAATCAGTAAACCACACTTGAGAACCCGTTACTTCCATCGGGCAGGATAAAAACAGCCGCGGTCCTAGAAGTTAGACGTTTCGTACGTACAATGCGATAAATGTTACTGAAATAACTTACCTATCGTCACATCAGAACTGCTATGGGTCTCTAGGAACTTGTTCAGATGTAACCATACCCGGGGGAGCCATTCGACAACTGCTGCCATTTCTGCGTTTCTGGTTCCGCCGCACTCGCGCAGCTCGTGTTCAAGTAGCTTCCGCCTGAGATAACGTCCCAAGAATCCCTTGACTGGTTCCATGTGATTGGCGCAAAGCACCCACCTGGAAGTACAAGTATAAGGATATAGGTCAAGTGGGCCGCCCAACTATTATTAAAGAAGGCAACTTAGAGAGCAAGATGTGTACCTAAAATTGTGATGTAATTGAAGATTCGTGGTGCTACAAGTGGCCTGACTCATGGTGCCGATAATAGCTGGACAAGACGAGTGTCTAGTGCCAAGCAGGCCGCTGAACAATTCCCCTAAAGACGCGGCGTGTTGCAAGTTCTCGAGGATGATCACCCTCGGTAGCTCGTCAGCCGCGTTCGAATCACATCTTTCGGCGATATGTGCGAGATACTGCCTGAGTTCCTTGCTGGACTTGTGATCGACGTTGAAGGTGGCCACCGCCGTGGCATCCTTCGTATCGTTGTCGGCATCGACTAGGGCGTGAGCTAATTTCCCAGCTAAATAACTCTTGCCTGTACCGCTGGGCCCGCATAGAATGACCCTACGATGCTCGGTTAATAAAGATATCAGTCGCTGCACGATGGAACGTGGTATCAGAGTATCCACGGCGAGCCACGAGTAACCGGAAAGCACCAAATAAATGGTCTTCACGTGGCCGATCAGGTAGCCGCAAGGGAGCAACTCTGGATGCTGAGAATCCGTGGTGCATCTGCGTGCGAAAGAACGCAACGTTAAAACGTTTCTGGTTGTAAATTTTCATGGAGAAAGGCGTCAGCGAAAGATATATTACAACACACGTACCTAGAAGCCTCTCCGAAATGATAGGCAGCAACGCATTCGACACCGAGGCCCAGATTCGTCACAGGATCGACCCTCGAAACGTATTCCTTAAAGCATCGCCTGACGGTGGAGTCAAGGGAATCCCACGTAGTTTTATTGCTGATGCAAACGTTCGCGATAATGCAGTGGGGAGGTTCACCGATGCTGCCGTCGGACGTGCTCCCGGTAACGAGATTGTAGTTGAAATTCTTCTCGCTGCCCAGATAAATAGCGACGTTGATCCTTTTGCCGTCGGTGTCCTGTTCCAAAACTGGCTCTCCCGTGGCCGAAGCGGCCGACGGCACCACCGGATGCTCCGGCACGTTCAAATCCTCCAACTGATCCGCCGTCGTGCTGGTGTCACCGTTCGATAGCGCAGCAACGGTGGACGCTACCTCCGTCATGCTGAAGCGTCTGTCCGGATCGCTGGGCAGCGACGACTGAGACGACGTCAACGATTTCGACGTCACCAGTCTCTGTAGACGCTCGTTGTTCTGCTTCAGATTGAGCATCTCGTTCTGCAAGCGAGCAAAATTGTGACAAAGGGGAAACAAAGAAGTACGACTTAAACAACGAGATTTTCGAGAGAAAGGTATGCTTATACCCTCATCTTGATAACGGTGTCCTTCAACGATTCCAGCTGATGCGCCGAAGACAGAGCTTCGAGCCTGATGTCCGTCAACACGAGATCCTTCTCCCTCAGCTGTTTCTTCAGTTCCACCACGTCCTCGTCCTCCTTTTTGTACAAAGCCGAGCTGCTTTTGCTACCGGTCAGTGGGTTCTCCACGTCGGGCGACTTCTGCCCGTTGCTTCTGGCGCCCTGGCCCTGAGATGGATCGTGTTTCGAGGCGCTCGGCAGCCTGGGGCTGTTCGGCGCGCTCAGGTCCCCGCCGGCGGTCTCCTTGCAGTCCTCCGCGTCGGAGACCGAGCCGTGCCTGTTCTTCCGCGATCTCGAGAAAGCCTTGGAGAACGAGCTGCGAAGCCAGCCTTTCTTCTTGTGGTGGCTGCTGGCCGAGCAGGCGCTGCTCAGCGAGTTCAACGAGGTGACGCTGTCCGCGGACAACTGTCTCGCCATCGAGGCACCCTGGTGGTTGCTGTTCCCAGTGCAGCCGGTTGTCCCCGAATCGGAATCGCCGAGGGTGTGGCGGCGGCCGTTGTTCGCCGGTGGCCCGTTGTTCAAGCCGGCCTCGGCGCTCTGCTTTCGAAGCCTTTCGATCGTTTCCCGTAACTCTTGAAGCTCCGAGTCCTGAAAAGTAAAAATAATGACAAATAATATCTTCTCGATCTCCTGGACAGAGTTTGCAAAGAGAGAGAGAGAGACTTTCTTTCTCTTCCAAACGTTATTATGCAGACGTTTCGAAGTAAACAAAAATACCCAATTTGAATCTGCTCTTCGTTTCTGCAGTCTTTCCGACTTTAACCTTCGACACTTCGCGAGATCTTCTCCCGAACTCGTCGCAATGAAAATCGTCACGTGTATAGTAAGAATATCTTTCAAAACAAGCACGCAGCTTCATTGTTTTCACAGCTACCGGTGAAGCGGGCAAGGCTCTTGGCTGTGACAGCAGGCGCAGTTGTCCGAACGACTGACCACGGAGTCGCTGCTCCACGACTCGGTCAAGCTGAACAATTGCTTCGTGGACACCGAGCTCGGCTCTCTCCTGCGCCTGTCTTCCCGCGAGCACGACGGATCGTTCAAGCTCGTCCTCGACGCAACCGAGCGAACGTTCGGCCGTGCTTTCGTCTTGTTCGAGATGTTCCTCAGACCGCGTTCCAACCTCGCCTGTAAACTAGACAGCTTGTCCATCGTGCCAATTCGCTGAGCCTTTCGTTCATTCTTCGGATGCTTCGCGAGTTTCTTCGATCTCTCCTCTCTTCTCGCGTTCGCGTTCTGACAATGTTTAACGTCTCGCATTTCGATGGACCCGTCGTTGTCGTTGTCGTTGTCGTTGTCGTTGTCGTTGTCGTTCGATCTTCTTTTAAGGAACCTGGAGGTGGACAGGTGAGCAGAGCTTCCGTTCGACTCCTTCGGCACTCGAAGACCGAGAGCCCTCGCGTCTTCTAGCGGCACTGGGATCATGGTCACGCCGTTCAATACCTTCACGTTCTCGTTGTTGGGACAGGCGGACAACAGTTGCGCGAGTTTCGCGTCGGCTGGCCGGCTCAGCCTTCGACGAGACTTCCGAAATACGCGACCGATCGTTCTCTCGGGGCTCTGATTCGCATCGTGCATCCTGACTGAATTTGGAATAAAAGAAAGAGAGAGAGAGAGAGAGAGAGAGAGAGAGAGAGAGAGAGAGATCTCGATTTTTCAAAAACAGGTTAGCACGCGAACGCGCACAGGAAACGTTTCGTTCATTTTCGTCGCATTCTCGAGTCGATCGAATATTAATTAATCCTCCGAGACGAAGGTGCTCATTCTTTCTTTCTTTTTCTTTTTTTTTTTTTTTTTAAATTTTGCCCTACCGTCGTACCGTCGGAGAGTTCATGCTTGAACACAGCGCTGTCACAGCGAGACGTGTTCTACCTGAAGTGTCGAAACTCGATCGACGCGATACTGTTTTCACGTTGACGGATGATTCTTTTGAAAATGATTAAATTAGGCTTGAATGCTTACTTTCTTCTCCGCGGTCGCAGTCAATTGTTGCAAACGTTGCGTCATGTTGGACAGCGATTGCTCGAAGGCAGACACCACGTGAGCCTGCAACAGATGAATTAATGAAATTAATGAGAAATATAATAATAAATTATTATTATTGTTGTATTTATGAATATAATAATATTCATATGTCATTACATATATTATTATTATTATTATAAAATATATAATATATAAATATTATTATATTTAATAATAAACTATAATAATATTTATATGTTATTATATATTTTATTATTATTATAAAATATATAATATATAAATATTATTATATTTAACAATAAAATACAATAATATTTATATATTATTATTATATATTTTATTATTATCATTATAATATAATAAATACAATTAATTATTAAATATAATAATAATAATGGTAACAAATAGTGAAAAACAACATCTATCTCGTCCGATTCTGTTTACAGAAGGCTCCAAGATATCGGCGAGGTAATTAGACAAAGAGCGTCTCGTAAATCACACGCGTCACCCAACGCTTTTATCAATTGAGCTTTCGAAACAGAAACTCGGATAACGAGTCGAGTGGCAGCTACGTATTTTCCACGTATCGATTCCCCGCGATCTAACCCCTTCCCATCCTGCGTTCCACCAGCGAGACGATAATTTATATCGTTTTTTACATCCGTCGAGTGTAGCAGCCACGCGCAGCAGTTGCTGATAAAGAATATAGAAAGAACGAAAATTTTACCATCGTTCTTACTTTATATTACTATTACAAACACGTAGCTACTTGAACTTCTTCTAAAATATTTTCAATTCGCTATGATTTCTTTGATTCGCGTGACTTTTTATCAATCGCGTGCCCGCCCGCGTACGAACGTAATTGAGATTACGCACTGTCGCTCTTATCTATGGACACACGAGACTGTCGCGCGTCCTATCGCCGATTTCCCTTCCCATCGTTATTTGCTCCGATCTATCGAGCGCTCTCGGTAAGGTAACATCGTCGAATGATCGTTGAACTTCGTCGTACTCGAGACGTAGGCGAGCTGACCCACAATGCGACCCACACGCGCCTCTCGTAATTTTTCTCTCTCGACGCTTTTCGTCCAAGAGGAAACGTGGATAACAACGGAGGGAGGAGGAATTATCTTTTGCAGCATTCTTTTCTCAAGTGAGCTTCGACTTAGTGAGCCACTAAATTACTTTAACAACAAAGTTACTATTTACAATGACTTGTGAATGGTAAACATGTGAGAAGTAAACATTAGAGAAAAGACAAACTAACTTACTTTTTAATGAGATTTATTATTATTTATCAACTTAATTTTCAATGAGCCTGTTGTTGCTATCGACCAAATTATTTAATGGTCGAATTCTTTAAACTCTCATCGATGCTTATTCTTAGTGTTTTAATTCGGTATTCTTAGTCTTAGTTATTTCACGGAGGAGAAAGCTTGTTGGTATCTACAAGTACTTCCAAATAGGCATGTATATTTTTATGCAAACTTTCCGAGGTTTGGAAACACTTCTGAGAAATAGGATCATCGAAAAATTTGTCAAGTCAACGTCATTTGGAACAGAAGGGAGAGTAATGAAATTTTGCTTTTAAAAAAACTAAGGGACACTGATGGTGACAACAACATATATCGACTAAATTCTGAAAATAGAGTTAATTTCAATTGTTCCTTTTGTTTATTATTATCAAAATGGAAATGCACCACGGTTGGTGCATCTTTCACCACTGGAATTCGCAAGGTGGTTCAGAGAATGATCAATTTCTAATTTCTTTTAGAAATTTCGCCAGGTGTAAAATTACGTTTGGGAATTGTAACGAGCAAAATGTACAAATGAATTACAAACTCTTTCTCTTTTAAGTTTCTTTCTTTGTTGCCTCTGCTGGAAATTTCATGCTTCATACATATTTATGTAAATACAAATACGACTGGATTAGAAATCCTAAAATTTTTATTATTTTTACTTTCAGAAATTTACCTCTAAAATCTCTGATTTCGACACTATTAGATATTAATATTATATTAAAATAGTGTATTAATATAATATAATAAGGATTAGATATTAATATTATATTAATATAAAAAATACTTTTATAATTAAATGTTAAATCATTATAAAATAAAGTAATGTGGCGGCCTTTTAAACTTTTGGGGGAAATTTATTGTTTAATTTGATAATCCACGATAAGAAATACTTAAATTACATTTACGTATTGTAATTATAATTTATGAATAAGAATTATATAAATGAATATTTTATAAAATAATATTTTAAATCAAAATGCAGTATAGTTAAGAATAAATGAATTATAAAAAGTTTCATTTTTGAATAATTATTTTTAACATTAATTTGAAAGAGGATTTAATAGTGAATTAATTAAATTATTTTAATTGAATTAAGTATTCAAATTTCTTCCCATCGCAAATTACAAATGTTACGATTTAGCTGTAGCTAGTATAGATGAATGATATAGTATGATAGTTTGAAATCTCGGGAAATTTGCCCGAGAGGGCACGGATGGACGAGCAACGTTTGCACGCGTAATACCAGAGGAATTATTCCGCTTGCAAAGCGGCAAACGATAATTTTCTTAGACCTATCTCAGGACTCCTTCATTGTCGTAGCTTCTCGCTTCAAAACGTGGCACGCGGAATGAGCTTTCGCGCTTGTGACCGTGATTACAGGCTGCCAGACACGCGATGTTCCCCCCTTTTTGTCGGGAATGTCAACCTTGAGTCGTATTGTTAATGCCGTTCGAGTCAATGCACGCCGCACAGCGAGGAAGAGCATGAAAATGAAAAAATTGTCGATGAAAAAGTGCCTTTGTAAAAGAAGATTACAATCACATTTTCACCTCTTGCGCTGGAACGACGTGCCATTTTTTGTCCCAAATTGCAACATTTTTCTCAGTTTTAAGTACATTCAAACGTAATCCAGGCAAAACAAGTGACAAGTTTATTACTTCTTGATAATTTGTATCCAGTGATATCATACCGACGAGTTCAAAAAAGAAAGCGACGAATTATTGTATACGTATTCGGTCACTCGTTATGGTCCGCAATCAGTTGCCAGCGCAAGTGGTTAACCTCCAAAATTGTAATATTTTCTCAGTTTTAAGTACATTTCAGTAAAACGAAATAGGCAAAATAATAAATTTATTAAGACAAATAATAAATTTATTGCTTCTCAATAATTCCTATCCAGTGATATCACACTGACGAGTTCAAAAAAGAAGACGAATTGTTGTATACGTATTCGGTCACTCGTTATGGTCCGCAATCAGTTGCCAGCGCAAGTGGTCCCAAAATTGCAATATTTTCTCAGTTTTAAGTATATTTAAGTATAACCCGGGCAAACAAATAATAAATTTAATACTTCCTAGTAATTTCTATCCAGTGATATACCGACGAATTCAAAAAAGAAGACGAATTGTTGTATACGTATTCGGTCACTCGTTATGGTCCGCAATCAGTTGCCAGCGCAAGTGGTCCCAAAATTGCAATATTTTCTCAGTTTTAAGTATATTTAAGTGTAACCCGGGCAAAACAAATAATAAATTTAATATTTCTTAGTAATATCTATCCAGTGATATACCGACGAATTCAAAAAAGAAGACGAATTGTTGTATACGTATTCGGTCACTCGTTATGGTCCGCAATCAATTGCCAGCGCAAATGGTTAAAACAAGACCAAATGTATCGTTGTGAGTGATCTTTTTCTTTTTTTACAAAGTTCACTTTTACATCACACCAGAGTTATTTATTTTCGTCGACAAACGTTTGTTTATACTCGATATAGCCAGTGATTTATCAATGATTAATCCCACATTCAAAAATCTTCCGATAAATTCTGAATAACTGTGCTTGCTCGATGCCACACTGGATAGGATCGTATCGACAGCATTGGAAGCGAACGTTTCTCCTCCACGTAAGAACGGAAATCTCGAACGGTTCGAAGTTACTAAGGAAACCAGTAAATCCGTCGGAGGATCCTGGACGAGTAAGCGTAAATGTACGACGCGCTCCCACGCGTGACTCTAAAACGCGATTGCCCGCGTTGCTTCACCTACCGCCGAACGTGTCAACCGTATCCGTAAGAAATATATTTCTTTATTGCGGCGCGATACGCCGGTAAGTGCAATCTACCTACATGTCGGGTTTACACGTTCCTCGAGCAAACCTTCTCTGTCGAAGCGCGCCTCGGACCATCTTTTCGGAGATTTGCCGCTGAATGCACGAACGTACGATCGCGTTTCCTACTTTTGCAGAAGAGACGAACAAAAAAGTATTGGCGAGGCTTGGTGAAAAATACGATACGTCGTTAATCGATGCTGTTTACAACTTTGGCCTCGTTCCAGAGTGTGGAAACTCTGCTTTACTAACCATGAGTTTTTCTTCTCCGAAAGCGGTGTTTTCACCTTTACACCGTGCAGCAGGATACTTTTGTAAAAGTTCAAACACGATTACTGGAGGAATTTCTTCCCGCGACTTCTTCCCTTTGCATCAACTCTTTGAAACTTACCATACGTACCATTTTCCCTCGCAATTATTATTTCATTGAACCATGACGTTAGAGTTAAACGACCAGAAATTCATGAAATCCGAACAGTTTGTCGTTCAGTCCAAAGTTGAAGAAAATGACGAAAAAGAATCGTACAGCGAGTTTCGGGGGATCGTTGTAAAGAGGAACACCTTCGTCTTCAAGATCATGGTAGATTTAATCACGAGTAGAAGAATTGGCATTCGAATTTGTACAATTTTCAATTCTTCGTTTTTCACCCGCTGGATAATGTAAAAACACCACTTCTGACCAACCAAGATGACCGTTCCATCGTCAAGTTTTTTTCTCAACACTAGAAGTTAGACATCTAGTGACCAAAGTAGTCTAATTTTCCACATAGACTCTTATGTATTTATAACTATACCTATTTTTTAGAAACTCGAATGAGTAAAATATATAAACAGAAGCTTCTGCTCTACATTACGTCACAAACGTCTTTAATTTCTTCAAATTTTATACCTTAATCGCCGATTGTTCAACACTGTTGACGCAGACTGCTTGAAAATGCAGGTGTCGCGTTTTTCTCAAAAGTCAAGATTGGT